TTTTTACATATATTTAAAAACTAATATATTAAATTAATTAGTCCGCTTTCGTATTAAAACATTAGCTATTATTAAATATAAATAATTAAATAATTATTAATATTATTAATGAACGCTTCGCGCTTTTATAAATTTTAAAATAATAAAAATACTTATCTATTTTTATATTTTAAAAAAGGGTCTATAAAAGCTAAGTTTATAATTATTATAAACTAAAAACGTAAAAATATAGTTCTTATGATCTAAAATATTTATTTTTTTAAAAAAATATTTTATAAACTGATTAAGTAAATATACTATTTAAAAGCGTTTAAGAAATAAATTAATAAGCGTACTTAAGCGGGTACTACCTTAGCTATACGTAGCTATGCGCTAGACCTCTTGCGATAAGTTTTTTATTAAATCTTTTTATTAATTATTTTTATATTTATTTAAAAAGGATATAAAAAGGATTTATATATACGATTTAATTATAAATAGTTTTATAATTAAAAAAGTATATCGTAAGAAGTTTAGTATATAGCTACATATAGCTAAGGTAATACTCATTTAAATACCTTTTTAAATTTATTTTTTAAACGCTTTTAATTAATATATTTATTTAATTAGTTTATAAAATAGTTTTTAAAAAAATAAGTATTTTAAATTATAAAAACAATATTTCTATGCTCTTAACTAATTATATTATTAATATTATTAATAAGCGTTTTATATTTTTATAAATTTAAAAATAAAATATCTATTTATTTTTATATTTAAAAAAAAAGATTATAAAAATTAAGTTTATAATTATAATAAGTTAAAAATACAAAAATATTGTTTTTATAATTTAAAATATTTATTTTTTTAAAAAAGTATTTTATAAATTAATTAAATAAATATATTAATTAAAGGCGTTTAAGAAATAAATTAATAAACGTATTTAAATAAGTATTATTTTAATTATACGTAGCTATACGTTAAACTTTTTACGATATAAACTTATTTATATAATTAATATATATATTAATTTAGAATTTTTATAAATTAATATAATATTGCGACCCAACACGCATTGCCAGACCAAGGCCCTGCCCTATAGGACCTACGGCGGCTACTATACTATATATATAATAATAAGAACTTAGATAGCTCCCCTCGGGACGGAAAAACTATAAATAAGTCACGTAACTACGATCTTATAATAAAATAAAGAACGAATACTTATAAATAAATAAAATAAACGATTATAGAAATATAAGACGGACGACTATTCGATAAACCGTTAAATAATAGTAAATAAGATATTATAAAAAATATATTTATAACTAAGATTTATATATAAGATAGCCTAAGCTAGGCTTAAGGATAGACTTCTATAGCTTTTTTAATAATTAATTTTTATATTAAATTTAACGATTACTTTTAGCTATTTTTATTAAGAACTTATTTAATAAAACTACGATTAATTATTAAAGCCTTACCTATTTTACGATTTATAAATAATAGTTTTATTAAAGCTATTCTTATGACGATTATTATTTATAAGTATCGTAGCCCCGACTTCTATTAACATAAACCTCACTACGATTAGCTAGCCGTAATATATAACATATAGTTTATTTTTATAATATAAAAAATAAAATTAATAATAACGTATATATATAGCGAGTCGCCTATTATAGTAAGTCGCCTACTTTCCTTTTTTTCTATACCTTCTATCTTAATAACTATTTTTCTTTATATATAATTATAAATTCTTTTTTAAATAAAAGTCGTATTATCCTTATATTTTAAATTATTAAAAAAAACCTAAATTTATTTATACGAAAAGTAATTTTTATTTATAATATTTTAAAAATAATACTTCGCGACCGACGCGTTAGCTTATTATTTTGATATAAAATTCGTATAAATTTAAAAAAAATAACTTTTTTAAAAAAAACTATAATTCTTAAACGAATTATTAACTTAATTAATTAAAAATTTCTATTATAACTTAATAATATATAAAATATAACCGATTACCTTTTTATTAAACGCGACGTAATATATATTAAACTATAATAAATAAAAAACTTTATATAACGTTAATTATAATTAAAAACGCGTTTTTAATATAAAATCGATTATTAAAAAGTATTAATTAAAAATTTTATAATTATCTAAATTTAATTTATCTTTATACGAAATATAATTATAAAATACGGAATATATAATTATAATATTTATAATTTTAATAAAACGGGTTTTTTAATAAAAATATTTTTATATATAAAAGTTATTATAATTTTTAATTATTATAAAAAGCTTTATACGAAATAATTTAATAATTAAAAATAAGTTTTTATTATTTAAAATATATATATAAATAACTAAACGTTACCTTCGTACGTTATTATAAAAAATAAAGATTATTTTTTTTTATAATATATTAATAGCTAATTCCCTTTTAAATAATATATTTACTTTAATAAAAATAAATAAATTATAAATAAAATTAGTTTAGATTAATTGAAATATTTTAAAAAATATATAAAGTTTCGTATAAAAAGTATTAAATAGCTCTTAATTTTTAATAATTATAATAGTTATAAATCGACTAAATTTAATAATTATTATAAAGAGCGTAGTATTATTACTTTTTATATACCTCTTTATTTATTATATAAGCTTTAGCCTCTTAATATTAATTATTTTAGCCTACTAAAGGCTTTATATAATAAAAAAATTAAGAAAATAATACGGATATAAATTACGTATATTATTAAAAACAACTTCTTTTTTATTTTTAAAATAGCTTTTTTTATTTTAATAAATAAAAAAAACGTACGAGCTAGTTTTAAATAAATTAAAATTGTATTTTTTAATTTAAAAATAGTTATTTCTTGTTTAGATTTTAAATTAAAAACGTTAATATTATTTAATTTATATTTAAATAATTAGGGCTTTTAGGATTTAAAAATACTAATTATAATATATAATACTATATAAAGCTTTATTTTATTTAAAAAACGGATTTATAACTATTAATATAGCTTATTAATATATTTATACGAAGTTATTAATTTATAAATTAAAGGTATTAATAAATTAATATATAAATTAGTTTTTATTAAAACTAAATACCGCGGGTTTTATATAGGAAATAAAATATTAAATAAGCACCGGAAAATTAAAAAAATATAATTATATTTTAAAAGCTTATTTAATATTATTAAAGCTAAAGTAATCCGAAAAAAAAAAGGGTTATTAATATTAAAAACGAAAATATATATTAAAAAAATATTTATATAAAAAAAGTTAAATCGCGCGAGCGGTAATATAATAACTATAAAAAAACTAAATATAATATATAAATATATTAGATAGTTTAAAAAACTTCTAAAGAAAAAGTTAATAAATAGTTTTAATTAATTTTATATAATATAGCTTAATTAACTTATATAAATAATAAGAGGGTATTTAGAAGTAGGCGATTCGCTATAATAAGCGACTCGCTATATATATATGTTAAAGTAAATAAATTTACTTTTTTAATAAAAAGTAATATAAATATTAATATTTTTCTTTTTTTTATATTTTATTTAAATATATTAAAAATATTATTTTAAAAAAGAAAATTTATAAACATTAACGACGATCTTTTTAATAATATTATTAAAAACGGCTTTATAATTTACTTTTTTAACTATTTACTTTTTAAAATTTATTAATAAATATTCTTTTATTTTTAAAATTATTATAAATTTTTTTTTTAAAATTTATTATTTTTTTATATTTTTTTAATTTAAAAACATTTATTAACGAGCTTACTAACCTTTTTATTAATAAAAAACTTAGCGATGGTAAAGCTATATTTTTAAATATTAATAACGATATAAGCGGCGGCCTTCTCGGCCTTAATAATATAAAACGTTAATAAACAAAGAATAGTAAACTAAGCGGGCTTATAAGCGGGTATTATATATATCTATATATCTATATATATATTTAATTATTATATTATAATTTATTAATATCAAAAAAGTTATATAAAGTTAATAATTAATTTAAAAAATTTACAAAAACGATTTATAAATAAGTTAAAAAAATAAATAAAAAAGTAATTAATAAAAAAAGTATTTTTATTATTTAAAAATCCGTTTAAATAATATTTTAATAACTAATTTTATAATATTTTATTTATAAACAAAAATATATAATAACAAAACAATAATAATAATAATAATAATAATAATAATAATAATAATAATAATAATAATAATAATAATAATAATAATAATAATAATAATAATAATAATAATAATAATAATAATAATAATAATAATAATAATAATAATATAATATTATTATTTTTAACAAATTCTTTTTATTAAGTTAACTTTTTTTTATTAATTATTTTTATATTTATTTATAAAAAATATAAAAAATCTTTATATATATAATTTAATTATAAATAGCTTTATAATTTAAAAAATATATTATAAAAAGTTTAATATATAATTATATATAATTAAAATATTTTTTGTTTAAATATATTTATTAAATTTTTTCTTAAGCGTTTTAAATTAATATATTTGTTTAATTAGTTTATAAAATAATTTTTTAAAAAGATAAGTATTTTATACTATAAGAACTACGTTTTTATACTCTTTACTTGCTATATATATTAATTAAAGGCGCTTAAGAAGTAAGTTAATAATCGTATTTAAGTAAGTATTACTTCAGTTATATATTGTTATACGCTAGACCTCCTGCGGTAAATAATGAAAGCCGGCTTATTAAACCGTATGTAAATTAAAATTATTATTAGCGTCGGTAATAGATGAGTCAATTAGTCCTTAATAGACGCGGCACTCCCCCCCCAAAAAAAACACTAGGAAACGGAATCACACCCTTCTAGCAGATCCGGTATCGGCGTTGTTCGAATTAAGCAAACCGTGACAGATGAGTCGCTGTTGTACCCCGTGCCTGCCATTCCCCGCCCCCGCCAATTGGCCTGTTCTTTAAAGAAAAAAAAAATAGATTGGGTTCTCTTAGGAAGAGTCACCGGCACTACACACCCTATAGACATAGAGGTAGGCACACCCGCGCATCTTGCACGCACTCCCCATTCGACTCACCTCCCTTTTCCAGCTCCACGACAGAGACCAATCCGATGCGCCAGAGTTCAAAATAACCAGCGACAACCACCCCAATATCTGCTGCCGTCGATTATGGGCTTAGTCAATGGCTCGGATTCGGGCTCAGGCCCGACCCGGATCACGATCCTGGGCAAAGATGACATTGTCGTCGACCACGGCATCTGGCTCGACTTCGTGACTCATGATCTCCTCAACCACCTCAAGACGTCGACTTACGTCCTCGTAACCGACACCAACCTCTTCGACACATATGTTCCGCCTTTCCAAAAGGTCTTTGAAGCTGCTGCGCCTGCCTCGGCAAGACTGCTCACGTACGCGATTCCGCCCGGCGAAGTGTCTAAGAGCCGCAAGACAAAGGCCGACATCGAAGATTGGATGTTGCTGCAGAAATGCACCAGGGACACTGTCATCATCGCTCTCGGCGGCGGTGTTATTGGCGACATGATCGGCTACGTTGCCGCCACCTTCATGCGGGGTGTCCGCTTCGTACAAGTGCCGACGACGCTGCTGTCTATGGTTGACTCATCCATTGGCGGCAAGACTGCCATCGACACTCCTATGGGCAAGAATCTCATCGGTGCTTTCTGGCAACCCTTCCGTATCTACATCGACTTGATCTTTCTTGAGACGCTGCCGGCGCGAGAGTTCATCAACGGCATGGCTGAGGTTATCAAGACGGCCGCCATCTGGAGTGAGGACGAATTCACTGCCCTCGAGACCAGTGCGCCTGCGATACTGGCTGCTGTCAAGTCTCAGGGGGAACAGAGACTGTCGCCCATCCGAGACATCATTAAGCGAATTGTCCTTGGCTCTGCCTCCGTCAAGGCCCAAGTTGTCTCAAGTGACGAGAGAGAGGGCGGCCTAAGGAATCTTCTCAACTTTGGCCACTCTATCGGTCATGCCTACGAAGCCCTGTTGACTCCCCAACTCCTCCATGGGGAGGCCGTTGCCATTGGCATGGTCAAGGAGGCGGAACTGGCCCGCTTCCTCGGCGTCCTCCGTCCTGGCGCTGTGGCACGACTTGTCAAGTGCATTGCGAGCTATGAGCTTCCCACCTCGGTACACGACAAGAAGGTTGTCAAGCTGACCGCAGGTAAGAAGTGCTCTGTTGACGTGTTGTTGGAGAAAATGGCCGTCGACAAGAAGAATGACGGAGCCAAAAAGAAGATCGTGCTCCTTTCTGCTATCGGAAAGACACACGAACAAAAAGCCAGCGTAGTCCAAGACCACGTCATCAGGGTAGTTCTGTCACCGGCAACTCAGGTCATTCCTGGCATGCCTCAATCTCACAGCACCATAGTTACACCTCCTGGCTCCAAGTCTATCTCCAACCGCGCCCTCGTTCTCGCCGCTCTCGGACAAGGAACGTGCCGGATTACGAACCTACTTCATTCCGACGATACAGAGTACATGCTGTCGGCCATCGCTCAGCTCGGTGGTGCAACATATGCTTGGGAAGAAGCTGGAGAGGTGCTAGCTGTTAAAGGCAAAGGCGGCGAACTCAATGCCAGCAAGGAGGCGCTGTACCTGGGCAACGCTGGTACCGCATCACGATTCTTGACGACGGTCGTAGCTCTTTGTGCCCCGTCTGATGTGTCTTCCACCGTACTTACCGGCAACGCTCGTATGAAAGTCCGTCCCATCGGTCCTCTCGTCGACGCTCTCAGAGCCAACGGCCTGGGCATCAAGTACCTCGGCCAAGAGAAGAGTCTTCCTCTCCAAGTCGATGCTGCTAATGGTTTTGAGGGCGGAGTCATTGAATTAGCCGCTACTATTTCATCGCAGTATGTTTCGTCGATCCTGATGGCTGCACCGTACGCGAAGAACCCAGTCACTCTGCGACTCGTAGGTGGAAAGCCCATATCCCAGTTTTATATCGACATGACCGTCTCTATGATGCGCACCTTTGGCGTGAACGTCACCAAGTCGGCAGAGGAGCCCAATACCTACCACATCCCGAAGGGCGTCTACCAAAACCCTGCCGAGTATGTGGTTGAGAGTGACGCCAGCTCCGCCACCTACCCTTTGGCCATTGCGGCCATTACCGGCACCACTTGTACTGTGCCTAATATCGGTTCGGAGTCACTTCAGGGTGACTCCCGATTTGCCATTGACGTGTTGAGACCTATGGGCTGCACCGTCGAACAAACTGGAACTTCGACTACCGTCACAGGACCGTCCATTGGCAATCTGAAGGCCATTGAGCATGTTGACATGGAGCCCATGACAGATGCTTTCCTCACAGCCTCCGTCTTGGCTGCTGTGGCATCGGGAACAACCAAGATAAGCGGCATCGCTAATCAACGAGTCAAAGAATGCAACCGCATCGGGGCAATGCGCGAGCAACTGGCCAAGTTTGGTGTTGAGACCGACGAATTTGACGACGGGATCATCATCACCGGTCGCGCTGTCCAGGGGCTCCAGCAGCCCACCGAAAGCATCTTCTGCTATGACGATCATCGCGTTGCCATGAGCTTCAGCGTTCTTTCAGTCGTATCTCCTAAACCCGTGACAATTCTTGAGAGAGAATGCACTGGCAAGACCTGGCCAGGTTGGTGGGACACCATGTCACAATTCTTCGACATTGAGCTTGACGGCATCGACCAGCACCCGAAGCCTGTGGCTACAGCACCTTCCACTAGATCTCGCAAGGATAAATCTGTTGTGATCATTGGTATGCGTGGCGCAGGCAAGACGACTGCAGGGAGGTGGATGGCGGATACGCTGAAGAGGCCTTTCATCGACTTGGACGAAGAGCTGGAACGGCGGTCAGGCATGACAATTCCAGAAATGATCAGAGGTTCCAAAGGCTGGGCAGGCTTCAGAAAGGATGAGCTTGAACTTCTCCGGGATGTCTTGGAGAAGCAGAGCCACGGACACATCTTCTCTTGCGGAGGCGGCATTGTCGAGACTCCTGAAGCACGGAAACTACTTATCGCTCATTGCCAGAACAACGGCACTGTGTTGCTAGTCCACCGTAATACTAGGGAAGTCGTTGACTACCTGCTGCAGGACAAATCAAGACCGGCCTACAGAGAAGACATCGAAGACGTGTACTGGCGCCGGAAGCCCTTCTTCGAGCAGTGCAGTAACTTTGAGTACTTCAGCCCTCATCCCCCTGGTACATTGGCTACACGGGAACCGCCATTAGACTTCCGTCGCTTCGTCAATGTTTTGTGCGGAGAGCAGGTCCAAGTGAACAAGGCACTAGCAAAGAATCCCAGCTTCTTCGTCTCCCTCACAGTACCAGAGGTTGCGTCTGCTCTTACTCTGATACCGGCCGTCGTGGTCGGTTCCGACGCCGTGGAGCTTCGCGTGGACTTGCTTCAAGATTACTCTGAGGAGTTCGTGGCACACCAAATTGCGCTTCTTAGATCGGTGGCAGACATTCCCATCATCTTTACTCTGCGGACGCAGTCGCAGGGCGGCAAATTCCCCGATGACGCCTACGATCAAGGTCTCGGGCTGTACCAAAAGGCCATCCGTATGGGAGTTGAGTTCATCGATGTTGAGATGACCCTTCCAGAGCGAGTCATATGTGCAGTCGTGGAGAACAAGGGACCGGCGCGTATTATAGCCTCCCACCATGACCCCCAGGGCAATCTGTCGTGGAAGAATGGATCTTGGATTCCATTCTACAACAAGGCTCTCCAATGGGGCGATGTGATCAAGCTGGTTGGAGTTGCCAAGCGCATTGAGGACAATTTTGACCTAGCTCAGTTCAAGTTGGAGATGCTCTCCTCGCACAAGACCCCCATCATTGCCCTGAACATGGGACAGGGTGGTAAGCTTAGTCGCGTACTCAACGGCTGCCTCACCCCCGTCTCCCATCCAAATCTGCCGTTCAAGGCAGCCCCAGGACAATTGTCCGCGGCTGAGATCCGGCAGGCTTTGGCGTTGCTTGGGCATATTAATGCCCAAACCTACTACCTATTTGGTAAGCCCATCGCAGCGTCAAGGTCACCAGCTCTGCACAATACTCTGTTTGACCTTGTCGGTTTACCGCACCATTACTTGCGCAAGGAGACAGACAATGCCGCCGACGTGCGCGAGTTGATCCGTGCTCCCGACTTTGGCGGCGCTTCCGTTACCATTCCGCTGAAGCTTGACATCATGAAGGAAATTGACGAAGTCTCGGAGGCTGCCCGCATCATTGGTGCCGTCAACACCATTATCCCGGTATCGAACGGCGGAGATGTGACTAGGCTTGTTGGTGATAACACTGACTGGTCAGGCATGGTTCACTCTCTTCAGTCGGTTGGTGTATCGTCCCATTCGGCAGAAGACGGCCAATTCTCTGCCATTGTCATTGGATCAGGTGGAACAACAAGAGCTGCCATCTTCGCCCTACACGCACTAGGGTTTGGTCCTATTTACGCTCTGGCGCGCAACAGCGGCAACTTGGAGACACTGAAGGCCTCGTTCCCCTCAGATTATCGTATCGAAGCTCTCAAAAATGCCAGAGAAGTCCCTGCGCTGGCGTCCTCGCCTACCGTCATGGTCAGCACTATCCCCGCTGACAAGCCAGTTGATCCCTCGCTTCGGGAGACGCTCATGGCAGTGTTGCATCAAAACACTGCAGTCGACCGAAAACGTGTTCTCCTCGAGATGGCCTACCAGCCTCGCCATACACCGCTGATGCAATTGGCTGAGGACGCCGGATGGGAAACAATTCCTGGGCTCGAGGTCCTCTCCGCCCAGGGCTGGTATCAGGTATGTAAATCTCTGCGGATGGTGGAGACGTTGTGGCACGTATGGGAATAAACGGGACACAGGCAGCTGACTTGACGTGAATCTAGTTCCAGAAATGGACCGAAATCATCCCGCTCTACCAGACTGCTCGGGCAGCCGTCTTGGGCAGTGAACCGGCGGAAGCCAGCGGCCCCAGGGCATAACAAGGCCACTGACGGTTGAACAGGCGCACCGAACGCGCCCAGGTATCTCACTGTGCATGTTTAGTCCGGTAGATTGTAGGAGCTGGCAGTCAGCTAATCGACCCAGCTTGTCGAGTGGATGGGCCGTTGAAAATGATGAATGGATCTTAGTAACTCGGTGTGTTGACTTTATCAATAAATGAAATGCACTGCCGCGGCACAGTAGGAACCTCAGAGCCGCGTGAAACACAACACCATTCAAGCCGATGAGGATGAATCAATGACAACCACATGTAGTAAGTAACACGATGGAAAACAGCTGTAAGCCAGCAGGGTAGATATCGAGCAGTAATTGGGGAATGTACGCTACAGCATGTCTCATGGTGTACATATTAAATATTCTATAATGCCTCATTCCTCCTCATAAATTCATGTCGTCAGAAATCAATAACGCCCTCCCATGTGCCCAATGCACTTTTCAGACCTTTTTCTTTTGATCTAGCCCCGCAAACTCAGTTCACAACCCTGATATGGTATACAATAACGTATCGCACGATGGGCGAGTGTCGATACAACATTACAAGAAATGATGACGAAATGCACGCTCGTTGCTCAAAAAACATGAAATCCATCGCGAAAACCAAGACTGGTGAACAAAAATCCAACGAAATTGTTTTTTCAACCACTGCAATGTGGAATTCGAGCAAGGTTCCTTCGAATTATGCCATGTATGCATCGGTCCAACTGTATAGTCATGGCATCTTCTTAGCGTAATAGGAAAAACGCGCATGACCATGCGTTCCGAAAGTTGAAAGTCTAGGATCGGGCGTGACCGTCTAGGTCACTACGCTGTCATAGTCACCCACCCCCCTGACGTTGGCGTAGGTGGATGATGATGCCAAGACTTATGATGATGTCGTTGGTGGAGCCTAACAAGTCGGACAAAGTCTGGACACCCGGACCCATGATCGCTTGGCGGAAACAATTCGTGATGTCATTACGGGCCATATGGATCGCCAGGGTCGTTGTGCACAGACCAGTGTGATGTCATGTTGTACGACCCTTACTGCACCATGGACCCTGAATTTCCACCCTTGTCGTATTGTCCCGTTTACCCCGCATCCTTGGTCCACACGGGCAACGCAACAGTATCTCATCCCGGGATCGGCCAGTGCGAAAGCAGATGTGTTTTTAGACGTTGTGGCCTCGACGCCGGTGCTTGCCAGGGAATTCCACATCAGGGTGGCAGACTCGGTAGTGACGTGTAAGAGCATCGGCACGGCTGAAGGTCTTCTCCTCTGTGCAAAGGTTGCAACGCACCTTTTGCTTTCGTGCATTGTGAATGGTATCCTCGTGCCTAGTCAAGTCGTAGGGGCGTGAAAAAATTGTGTGGCACGGCTTTCCAGTACTGGGATTGATACGGTCGCAGCGGTGGGGCCCCGCTTGACTATTAAGGATGCTGTTGGGAGACGTAGCAACAGCCTCAGGTCTCCTGGGACCCCCGATACCTTGGGTCTGTCGATGTCCCTCACGCTTATGCTTCTGGAGCATAGCAGGGGTTTCAAACCGCATCGTGCAACCGTGATAAGTGCATGTGTAAGTGCCACCATCAGCAGTGGCACCGGCAGGCTTCGAGATTGTTGTTCCGTTCGATATCGAAGTTGCATCAGAACCCCCGGTGCTGGACTCGGCAGAACTTAGTCGTGAAATTTGTTCAGTAGATTGACGTGGGTGAGCAACGAATGGATATTGCTGCGGAACGTGGACGCCGCCGGTCTGAAGCTGGGCAGGCAGATAAGGGAAAGCAGCGCCGTTCTGCATAGCGGACCTGGCGAAGTTGACATGCTGATCCTGCGAAACCACGACCTTGGCAATGTCTTCGAAATCCACCGTCTCCTGAGACGGAAAAAGAGAGAATGATGATTCGCCGTCACCGTCGTGAAACTCAAGCATTGCGTCTTTCGGTGATATTGTCTTCGGCGTCTCGGGCTCTGACTTCACCGACATCTGCTGTCTCATGATCTGCGCATCCTGTTCGGCTTTCTTCTGTTCTCGCATTTGATGGGCAGATTTGAACCTCAGATGGGAGGCATGGACACCTCCCCCAAAATCATGGTTGGGCATGGGAGCAAGTGGCGAACCCTGACGGAAGGGCGAGCGGTCGCGCGAGACACACGATACTGGTGACTGTGCCGCGCTTAGGTGCTGATTGTTTGCAGCGCTCAACCGTTGCGCGAACACATCGTTGCTGGGCGATACAGCCATGTGATTTTGTACCGGGGCTGTCGAGGTAATGGTGAAATTGGGGCTGTACAACTCATCGTTGTAAATATCCGTCATTGTACGATCCAACTTGGGAACATTGCTAAACACTACATCGCCAACGATTGGTAAGCATGTGGTCATAAAAACTGGCGAATAGGACTCCTTACCAGCTTTTCGCCTTCTATCGTCCTCGTGGTCGAGGTGTGATGGCGTTGCGGGTGAGTCACCGGCGATGGAACTTGCCACTGAGTTTGGGTGGGATCTGCTAGTTGCCATAGACAGTTCGGGTGCAGGTAGTAGTCCGCGGTCAGAGCGAGGTCGTTGAACATTCATGGCTGATGCGTAACCAGTCATGTCCGAAGAAACATTTGGTAGCCCATTGTAGTTGGGATACATGTTGTCGTGGGTTACCGTCATTGACTTATTGGACAGTTGGTAGAACGCATTCCCATCGTGGGCCTGCATTTCGTACAAGCCGTCGGGCATTGAATCCGTGACTGCGATCTGGGGATTGGATATGTTGTGGTTGAAGGGTGATGCGGGACCGGCTGAGCCTAGGGAAGATAAAGAAGACTCCCGCTGATGTGGTAGCCGGCCGATCGACTTAGGGGCGTACTGGTTCCCAAGTACCCACGCGTCAGACTGCATCAGGTTTTGCTGGTGGTTCAAGATCGAGGCAGAATCTTCCAATGCTGGTGACGTGACTGTTCCAGCTCTCCTTGGAATGGCTAAATGGGATGTGTCGTAGGTGGAATGGTTTGCGGAGTGGTTTGCAAAAGAGTAATGCGAGGAAAGAAGTGATTGCGTCGACAGGGGAGACGAGGAAATACTCGAAGAGTGAAAATCGTGCGCAGCGTCGTCGAAGGAGGCGTCGAGGTCGAAATCGAGTGTTTGGGGGTAAAAGTGCTGTAGATGGGTATGGTGATGATGGTGTGGTTGTGAATAATTGGGATCAACGTGTTGCTGTTGCTGAAGTTGCTGGATTGAATTTGCAGTAGTGGGTCGGGTCAAGAGCATGATGTGGTGGTAATTGAGAAATTCAGATATTTGGTGTGTGTAATGGTGGAAGTAATATCAAAGTGGCAAACCACGGAGGGACGATGACTTATAAAGATGGAAAGACTCAAGAGAAGCAGCGAGTTGGGAGGCTGCACTACGTAGGGGACCCGACTTGCAATGAGGTAGACAGGTACGTATCTAAAGTGGGTTGTGGGGCTTAGAAAGGTCAGGGTGTACGCTGAGGGTACGTACCTCTTCTCGCAAAGCGGACGGGGAGCGGAGGTACCGGTTGGAGGACCCGAGGCTTGGACAAGCCCAGTCGTGCTGGCACCCCCGTCGAGTGGTAGGTATCTAGAGCAGGGTTACGGGGGTCTAGCGTTCGGGACCGGGGGGGGCAGCACACCCCAAGGTCTGGATGCAGGAAGGGGGGAGACTGGGAGAAAATTTTCAGGTGTGTGGGATGATGACCAAGTCTCGGTTTAGGTTTCTTGAATTTCTTCTCGATTTGCTGGAAGGTAGAAGAAGCCCCAAGACCAACAACGGCCCAACCGGGGTTTTTGAGTTTTTGTGTCTGTTAAGCAGCCCAGGGAGCGAGCGGCTGCTTTAATAATGCAGTTGCAGATGTGATGCGCACGCAGCAGTAGAAAGCGCGCGAGAAGACCACTTCGTTCTTTCCTCGATCGTAGGCGTACATCCGTATTTCATCTTTCCTGATCCATATCCATAGTAAGTGACTGCACCCTGTATATTCCAATCCACACAATATGAGCAGCGCACGGAGGAGTAGAAGGCAGCCAAGGAAGGGCGCCGAGGTCTCCTACTCATCCGGAGATAACGCATAGGGAACCCAGCGGTCCTGCTGAAGTAGCCGCGGGCAGACGGAGTAGCGAGTCCCCAACAACGGACAATAGAGCAGCTGACGTGGATGCAAGTCGGATAACATGACGAGAAGAGAAATCGAGAACGGCCGTGGCCCAGTGCGTCGGGCGGAGTACGCGGAAAGCGGGAATCATTATGGATTACAGACAGCCAATTCTTATATAATCCAGCGTAAGCTGGTACAAAGCGACGACGAGAGCTTGCTCGAAAGCCCTAGAAGTTTCTGGTCCTGGCAGTCATTTACAAGCATCCGCAACAGGCTTCGTAATGGTGTGCAATTGATATTGGTGGCTTGGGCCCTCAATTTAACAGTGATGAGTGAGCACTCTGAGGACAAAGCGAAGGTGGTGGGCAGGTTGGCGATTGCCGATACGGCAAAGCTTGATGGCGATGTAGATAGACCGAGACGGACGAGGAGGGCGGGAAGATGCGACGCGGGAGATAGCACGGAAGTAATCCGAGAAATATTGCACTCTTAGTAGTGGAACATCGAACCAGAGATGCTCGGCTTGACTTGATGCTGCGCTGGGCGGGTGGTTGCACTCAATGGGTCGTGGGAAGCAGCGATCAAGACGTAGGTGGACTCGATTCCGGCGACGGAGCGACATCGATAACCCCGTCGCGGGTTGGTGGAGTGAACTGTGACGTAAGGCAGACAAACGGTCGGGCCACTGAGATCTCATAGCTCGCAGCCATTGTACGGGCTCACTGTACAGTGTGACAGTGGGTTTCTTCGCAATTATTTCAGAAAGGTGCCCGAGAAGCTTACTGCACATTACCTTACCTACCTACCTTACTACATTGGTCGTTGCTTCCCATGTTAACAAGGGAAATGGAATGATTGGGTGGTGGGCCCACCCGATGACATGCCGCAACGCGCCTTACCACCTAACAGCTTTACACATCCCATAGTTCCAGAGTCCCCCGATGAGGGTTGTATTTTGGGTCAAGAGCCGTCCGTGACCTTGCCAGCTATATTTCTCACCGGCGCTTGATCGTCGGCAGCCATCTCTTCGTCCAAATTGGCCGGCAGAAGGTGGGGGAGGCTGGTCTCAGAAGCCCCAGTTCCAAGCTCCGCTTCAATACACACAGTAGACATGTCCCTCAACCGGCTTCTGCTGATATCATGCAGCTTTTCTGCACAGAAACGAGGATGAATAATCACTACCTTATTCAATAATCCTTGCTTGTTAGCTAGGATTGCCGTCTGAAAGAATGCCGCATATTTGGTCAGCTATGCCAGCCAGCCTGGCAGACAGACGCCCATGATGGGTGGAGTGGTGCAGGGAAGGGTGAGGGGGACGAAGATCTCTTCCATGCTCACTGCACCGGTCGCTTCTACCTTGCCATGGCCCCACGAAGTGACTGCATGTTTTGAAGGGTCCTGTCGGGCTGGATGTGGGTGTGATGGAAGTGTTTGGTGGGCGCGGGCAGACAGGGAACAGGGGTTTGTACGAAAATGCCATGACCTCAGTCTGTGCCGGTTTTCCAAAATGCAAAGATGCAGGCAGCCGAAGGACGGGGAGGGACGTATGGATACTTGGGAGTTCGCTTCGGTGAAGCCTCGGGTGGATGGGTTCGCTCGCTAAGAGGTCACCCCACACGACCGATCACCCCCAACGACCGATCACTCAATTGGGCCGATTTTTTCCCTCATACACCACCACCACCACTTTTTCTCTGTACGTACCAATAATCGAAAAAAATCACGAAAATTATACTGAAATTACTACTAGATTCGCAATGCCCAATTACACGGAAGAACACGTCAAAAACGCGGAAAATGACGTTCTGCACGGTAAATCGATCCGGAAGGCCTCGGCGGACTGGGGAATACCCTACGCGACGCTATCTGGCCGGTTAAAAGGTGCCACGACCGTCAGGAAGTCGAAGGAAGATTACCAGAGGCTCAGTAAATACCAGGAGAAGTCCTTAGCTCATTGGGCAATTATCCAAGGCCAACTAGGATTCGCCCCGAGCCATGCTCAAGTCAGAGAGTTCGCTACTCGTATCCTCCGGCAAGGTGGCGACCACCGCCCACTCGGCAAGAAGTGGTTAGAAGGGTTCTTACGCCGGAATCCTGCTCTTAAGACGCTGAGGGCTCGATCTATGGATTCTAAGCGCGTTAAGTCGGTTACTATTGATATTGTGAAAGCTTTTTAGACTATCCTAATGATCCCAGATATCCGGAAGATCCCAATGTCCCTCCGCTGGAATATGGACGAGACGGGGTTAACGGAGGGGACCAACAAGGACTATTTAGTACTTGGGAACTCCAAGAAGAGAACTATCTATGTCCAGAACCCAGGGGACCGCACATGGACCTCGATTCTCGAGTGTATCTCCGCGAATGGCCGCCATCTGCCCCCATTAGTGATATTTAAAGGGGAAACGGTTCAACACCAGTGGTTCCCTGCGGAGATAGAAGATTACGCCTCTTGGAGCTTTACATCATCGACCAACGGTTAGACCTCGAATTCTATTGGTCTAGAATGGCTGTTGAAGATATTTATCCCTGAGACGGCAGAAGAGGCAAAGAGACTACGTTCTAAACGACTATTAATTATGGATGGTCACGGTAGTCACGTTTCCGACGATTTTATGTGGCAATGCTACTCCCAGGGAGTTTACCTCTGTTGTCTACCGGCCCATTCCAGCCACATCACTCAACCTCTGGATGTATCGGTCTTCTCACCCTTGAAGTCATCGTTCAGAACCGCAATACGAGAATGCGGTCTCCAACTCAACTCAGCGCCTATAGGGAAGCAAAACTTCCTCCGCTGTTACTTCCAGGCCCGGAACGAGGCTTTAACGGTACGGAATATATGCTCCGGGTGGAAAGCTACGGGTTTGTGGCCCGTGGATATGAGTAAGCCACTATTGAACCCATTGCTCGTTATTCCAGCAGCTACAGACGTCCCACGGCCACCACCATGGGACCCTCTATTACCAGAAGTACCCAAGACACCCCAAGACCTCCATATTATTACGCCTAAAAAGTCAGGAGACCTCAGGAGATACCAGAAGCTCTGGGAAGTGGGCGAGGATAAGGACGACTTTGACCCAATCTCGCGCAAATTAATATTCGACAAGGTTGGCAAGCGATTAGATGCCCAGAACTTCGCTTTAGCCCATACTCAGGTGGTCATACAATCGCTAGAAGCACAAGTGGTATTATATAAGCCAATATCGAAAGGAAAAGTCAGGCAGGATCCGAACGAACGATTCGTACAAATCGAGGCTATTATGAAGACCAAGAAGGAGGTCGCAGCGCGGCCGCAGCGGCAGAATACGGATCTAACGGCTAAAAGAAGTGCCTCGGACACTGATTTCCTCAGTATGTGTTCAGAATTTCAGATTTAAGGTGGTTGTGCAGCCAAAAAATAAATCCGCCGTCATTGAGTTGAGAATTGGAAGTCTGGAAAAATCGGCCCAATTGAGTGATCGGTCGTTGGGGGTGATCGGTCGTGTGGGGTGACCTCTTACCCGGGGTTCTCCCCTTGGATCCCGGGCAGCGAGCGAGGTAGCGAGAAAAAGCGAGACGAGAACTGTCACTGCCTTTTGGAAGAGGGCTTGAGGCTCAGCCACACTGCCACAGCGTTGCCCCTCTCATACGGTCCTGTCCGTCTCGTTCAAGCCGACGGAAGCCACCCGATCACCAACTCGCACTTTCTATCCGTATGCAGTGCATCTTTCCTTGAACCTGGCCTCGGCCTCGTGGCTGTCGTCTGCAGGTACACGGCCCTGATGAGTGTCGGGAACAATCCCGCACGGATTCCCGATCTGGCCCCCTGCCATCGCCTTCTCCCATTCGTGCCATTCCAGCGCACTATGATGCTCTACATGTATACGCCGTACGGGAAGATAAGCAAATAAGGTACGGATAAGGTACAATCAGATTCTTCCAGTACGACGTCCATCGTCCATCGACCAGATACGTCTAGGTATCTCAGCACGTTGACTCCATGACATATGACCGCAACGTTTCATGATCAGAAGCTGGGAATGACGTCAGATCCCGTGACCTATCCCCTGTTGATTAGCTAATGGCTCCATTAACGCTCTGCTGTGGCTGGGTGGTCCGTGGCTGGCTGGCTCCCTCTTTCCAGTTTGCTATAGGTAGGTACGTAGGGGTTTTTGCTAATCTACTTACCTCAAGCCTACCATCCCCCAGGTTGTATCCGTAATCCGCGTAGAGTTTGCAGCCCACATCACACAGTTGCGACAGTGTGATGTTTCTGCGAGCGCACAATTCCCCCCCCGTCATCGGTCAACAACATTGCTCCCGCGTTCAATCTTGACTCGGCCTGTGCCGTGCATCATCGCAAACTTCGGAAGACTTCGCTGATTGGTTTCCTCGCAAGCCTACGCTACTCGTCGAGTCGTGTCGTTTCGCCGCGTGCGCCTCTCAGAAATGGTTTAATTCGTTCCCAGCTATGGATACAGTGTGAAGTATCCACAACCAGTCATCCAGCTGAGGAGTGGTGTGGTGGCATGTCAACATGCCGCGGAAGGTGAGGAAGGTGTGGCAAGGCAAAAATGCTAGCTGCTATTTTTGACTACTATTTTCGGTCACTCTTCCGCTCCAATGCTTTTCTGCCAATGCCAGTGTGTGCTCTTCGCGTACCCGCTTGCTCTCGTTACTTTTCTCGAACCCCCCTCACGTCCTCGGTTTACAGCCAAGTGAATTTACTCTGGCATGTTGGCACTCAACTTGTTACTCTTGCTTTCGTCTCCGAACTGTGGCTCAACCTTGATAAAGACAGGCCACCCATGATTCATCATCCCGATTTAGTACTGTGTATGTATTCGCTCCTAGCAGTGTCTGTCGAGGTATAATGAATGGTCGAGGTTGAAGGTTCTAGCCACATAGGTATGCACAAGTTCATTGTGGCTTAATTACTCGCCTGTACGTCGGATCCCGACCGAGCGCGTTTCTTCTGATAGCCACCGCTGTGGGTACGCTTGTCACCTGGAGAACATACGGATACTCGTAGAGTTAAGCTCAAACGGGAATGTTGAAGTGAGGGCCTTGCTCCGCATGCTGAGGGCGGGGGCTTTGAATGCCACGAATCAGTCACGCGGGCAATTCTAGCTGAGAGACGAGTTTGCTCGATGACTCTTCTTAGCAGCCGCAGCCGCACCAGCTTTACCTGTAATGGACGTCGACTCCCGGCTGCCAAAGAAGTGACCCGGACAAGATTCTTTTCGCCGCAACTCTGCTGAAATGAACTCTTTTCGTTGGCCGTCAGCTGAGCGTGTTGCCCCGGCTGGCATCGTATTCATGTCTCATCAATATTCACATGACGCCTCATTACGACGTATCGTCGTGTCCTGTGTGCCTGTCTACATATTGCAGCTATTATCACGTTCAGCACCAGCTTGCCAAAGGTACCCACACGGGCCTACAAGGACCTGGAGCGGTCTCGACCGACGGAACGGCGGTCGTGGGGCGGGCCCGCCCCGTCCTTCGGCCGATCCAGCCATTTCAATAGCCGTTCTCGAATCCCAAATGCGCTAGTGCCTCGGGAGCTGAAGCACCACCAGATATCTGCTTGGTTTCGCAAGGAAGTGGCATGTCAGAATAATGGCGGTCGCGGATGGCTACGGACGGTGCATGTGCGGCCAGCCTCGAGGACTCGCAATTCCCTGTAGGACTCCATTCCGTTCTGCACACTTGGCTTTGCGGCTGGCATCGACGGAGGAGGGATCTCAGGTGCCATGTACTTGGATTAGATACGTGCGCGTCACTCGATGGCATAGTCCCAGGATTCGCTGCTGCTGCCGAGGGAACGCGCGTGAGTATCTTCACAAGTGGCTCACTCTTTTCTTCCATGTTACGTCCTCAATCGCTCACTCATCCACGAGCTGATCAGGGCTAAGGTGTGCATCGGGGATATGCCGAACTAACCCCGCCAGGTTCCAACTCAAATTTCTGACATTTATCCATGTCCAAACCTACAATCATATGGTACAGCGTACGGAGCGTAGGAGAGGCCAAGGCATAGGGGAAACGAATAACTAGGAGAGAGGAAACTTCACCGATGCAGGGATCTCGGCCGATGCCGCGATGGCCGAAAAGCGACGTTGCCGATGCGGAGCTTCCTACGGTAAGGTAGTACAGACTGGCTGCGGTTGGAGCCATCGACACCACTGCGGGGCCTATGCATGTGCAGTGAAATGTTAAGAAGGTGAGGGTGGGGTGGCATGCAGCGAGACGGAGGAAGGGGGAAAATTTTGATGATTTCTGGCATGCAGCCAAGTGCGTGGTCCGGTCTGGTCTTCGGCTTGTCCAGCGATTCAGCTCTCGCGTCGTCCACCAGCACCTCTCGGGCCACTCCGGTGTCCGAAGGTATTCAAATCATCTTCTAGTCTTTTCACGAGCTGGGGATGCTGCGGGAGACGGCGGAAGTGAATAAAATGGCCCATTCTTGTTTGGTACTCAGCCACCAGCTAGAGACTACTTGCACTGCGCTGTGCCGTCAACTGTGAATTGCATGTAGTGCGCTGCCGAATGGAGTGAACCAATGAGCAATGCTGCCAGCAGAAACTCGTTGAGTGTGGCTGGGATGCAAAATCAAGACCCAAGTCAAGCCGCAGATCTGTATCTGTAGCTACCTAAGCAGTCAGGCAGTCACCAGCGTCGGGTAGGGTACGGATACCTTTGTATCTTTATTCCCACCTTTTCCTGGCCGTGCTTACAAATGAACTTCTCGAGTGTGTCTTCGTCCCACGAAAACCTGTCAACGACGGGACTCAAGGCTGCTGGCATCGGTGGCTCCGGCACGAAGCTTTTAGCCGCCATCTCGGGGCCTCCCACGTTTGTTTCCGCACTCTCTCGCGGCAGGTAAATGCAATTCGCACCTGCTCCCCGGCTGGCGACTAAGTTGAGGCCTACGCTTGGAAAAAAACATCTTATTGAACCACCACTACTTCGTAAACATCCTCTTTCGTTCCCCTTGCGTTGTGCCCCGTGACTGACGGCGCAGCCCGGCATACCCGCTCTGTAGCCCAACTCGGCTAAGCTGAGGTTCGACTCACTTTACTTTCTTACAGTGCTCGGAACAAAAATTTAAACATGCGAGACACAGCGTAACATTTCCACCTATTCAACATCCATCACTTGGCCGAGTCCAGGATTCATCCCGACGGTACACTACTGCATTGAGTAATGCCCAGTTGCATGGGCCACGATACGTGACCGTGCCATAGGCGATAGGGCATTATTGGCGAACGCTGACTATGTAGGTGACTACGTATCTCTGGTAATTCCCCAGTCACCAAGTGATCAAATGCAGCATGGTGCCGTAAGAGGAAGGCGATGGGGTGAAGGCGTGGAAGGAAAGGAAGAATCAGGTCCAGCGTGCATGCGCCGGCATGCACGAAACCAGGCAGGTGGCGAAAAGGATGGAATTTCACCCAACACTTGGATCGACTGCCGTCCATAGATTGGAAAGACAGTGCAAGATCTCCGTGGCCGGCGCAGATCCGTTCCTTGGCCCAGATGGCCGGGTTCCGTTCCGTGGAGAAGTCGACTCAGTTGTCAGGGTCCCGTCGGAATTCTAAATTTAGTGGGTTCCCGACGCCAGTGACAGCACACAGGACTCACCTCGCATCGTCCTGTGCGCACGCTGCGCTGCGCTAGTATCCCCAACGGCCAAGGGAGACCCTGATTTCTAATACTTTACGGGAGGGCTTAGCGTACAAGATCTGCAGCAAGCCAGCCGACATTTATCCGGACCCGCTGCACATTGCCTTTGGCGTCTTGCTTTCCGCTGCTGTTCAACTTTTCCATCTCTCGTGGCCGGTACCATCCGAAGTCACGCCTGTGGCTTGGTGCAAGGCCTGTCGCCTACGTTACCTCAGGTGGCTGGCTACCTTAGATTCGGTATGCTAGGTTGGCCCGACCAACACACTACCTAAGGTAGGTACAGACCTGGCAAGGCACGTTGGTACGGCAGCTATAGGTACGTAAAAACTACCTGTACATGGCTCCACTGGAAGTGCCTGCCCGATAGGACTGTGCCAGCTCACTAGCGACGACATCGCCCATTTTCAACATCAACTGCCATTGACTCACATTTGTCACCGTCGAGCCCGTCCTTGCAGCTCGGATACCACCTCCTTCTCGGCCCCCGACTCCTGACCTCATATCCCGGGCTGCCTCCCTCGCATTGACCTGAAATATGTCCAACTTGTGGCCTGGTGGCTTAGCTTCCGTCTCCCGTTTCCTCCCTTGACCACTTCTACGATTTGCCGGCATGTTCAGCCACAACAGTGATCACGCAGAGACATGGCAACATGATTACTGGCCCGTGGATAGCTAACAGAGCGAGGCGAATTTCACTCTGGTTTGCTCGCCCGAATCCATCATGGTGGTGGTCGTGGTCGTGGTCGTGGTCGTCGTTTTCCTCCTCTTTTGAGTGCTTGCATCTTCGTTGGTATAACATCGGACTCATGCTGAGCTAGTCTTTGGTGTGGCGCAATCTTGGCTCCTCGCGTCTCCGCGAACCAAGGATCTTTCCATCATGAGACATGTGAGCAACTTGGATCGTTGTACTCGGTTTCCTCGGTTCCTACCACGCGTGCTCCCTCTATTTTCAGTTGCTGCCACGCATGCCCGTGACTCATCTCCCCAACTCTTTACATAGGCAGTCGCGGGCAGTTACCGTAGAACCATGTAGGTCACAGAACGGTCAGTCACCATTCTCTCCGCCACGAGAACTTGGTACGTGATTAAGGTGGCTGGCAGACAGTGTTGAGACTTTGTGCGGGAAGAACAAATTCAGAGTTGGGCCTATCCCAGTCGTAATACGAAGAGTACCAGTGACGAGTCTCCACGGTGCCCCGGCTTTGTTACTCTAACCAGTCTGCTGCTCAGCTTTCTGGGGACTATGTCTCCTCAGTCATGGAAGCATACAAGTAATCGTGAATGCTCCATTCCACTGTCGCTGCGTCGATATAATTCAGATCAGTCAAGCTCAAGATGTCGTCTAGCTAGGTGCACCACGATATACTTGTAAGCCAGGAAGTCCTTTGGGTGGTCATTTCCCAGCGGATATGGCCTCTCAGAGACCTGAACCCCATTCATGTTGATAAAGACTAAGTGTTCAGGAGAGTAAGTTGATGTACGGGAGGGGGGCTGGAGGGGACTGGACGGTTGGGTGCACGTCATTGATGGACGGCGTTCGTTCCCTTCATATGTAGCCTTGTACTGGACGCAGCGTGTGGGCTGTAATGGGGCTTTCAGATGACACAACTGAGGTGTCTGCGATAGTGTTACATCCTAATCTGACTCAATAATTCCCTATTCCTGCATGCTACTTGTGGTTCTGGAAACGCCTGTCTAATCATATTGTCGAAGTGTGCGGGGGTATAGTATTGAAGAAGCGATCTCTAAAGTGACACACGCATCATACCCGTTCTACAATATCCGATTGCATTGAGTCTCCGCCACCTCTTCCGCCTCATTGAAGACTGCCTTTGGGCCTCGTAATATGTTTGAGTCGTCCATGGATGTAGACGGCCATACACAATGCTTCGAACATCGCAACTCATGACGTTTCAAACAGCTCATAAGACTGCATCGCTGTTGATATTACGGCAAGAATCTATCGCCCTCTGCTTTTCGTTACATGTTGCAATGCTATGAGAGTTCATGTGCGCCGTTTAGTAGTGCTATATCATGCGGAATCCCCGGGACTAGATATCTCAACAAGTAGTCTTCGTGCTAGTTCTGTCTACACGTGGCTGGTGTTGAGTGGGCCGAGGCTCTCTACTCGACCGATTGACTAGGGCGGCTGTCAATATGAAGGTAGCAAACATACCTCGGCGGTGCGTCTTTTCCTTGCTACGAGGGATTTTAAGTAGCGCTGGAACATTGGGCCAAAGGAAACATGTTGCTATGTCATGTGGCGTATTGTCTGTGACATGTCGACGACACCAATTCATCTGTTCTGCAGTCTCGGCTGCAGACCTCCGTAAGATGACTGTCAAGTAAGCTCGCTCAGCATCCTCACAACCTCTACGTCACTCATGTCTTAGGTTAGCATGAAGATATGCAAATCGAGTGAATTGCGTGGTGGGGGAGATCGTACCACTCGCCGTTGTTGGCTAGCGAAAGCTGGGGATGGGCCCGGGATGAAGATCGTGAGATAGGCAAAGCAGGAAATTGTGCGTCTCGTACTGCTTTCACCCACCTGGGAGGCGCCCTGGGGTCTGCGAACCCCTCAGTTGGCGGGTCTCGCTGTTGAGGCAGAGTATTGTGATGAATATTGGCCGCCGCAAATTTGACCAACTCTGTAACTTGAGACACCGAGCTACAGTCATCCCAGCCCAAGGCCTCCCAGATCTGTGCAGTTCAGATATTATTGAACTTGGTGCGGGATACGTTTGTCCGCTCTTCGCTCGATTCTTCCTATAGGGCCCAGCCTACACGACAGATGGCCTTTCGGGTGCGTACGAAATACTGCCCCCGTGTTCCACATATACCGGCTTGTAGGTATTGCTATTGATAAAGGGGTTTTCAGAGAGTAGAATCCACCCGTTGGGTGCAGTTTTATCGTCATTCTGGAACTTTCGTGTTTCAAATTACATATATATTTGATCTTGGTATAAGTTGTGCTACTTGCGACCCTCTCAACCACGAACGAACTTTGCATTACCTTATACATTGACAAGACAGAAGAAATCCACCACGAAAGAAGGTACGGAACGACTCGAGTGTTAAATACGGAAAAGGCCACAAGCAAAAACACACGCTGTGCAAGTATCGTTTGACGAATGGTGCCTCTCCACCCCACCGAGAACTCAGTGATTGCAGACCCCGGGACGATCAAGCTGGCCAACAGACGGAGGAAGAGGATAATCCCTCGAAGGGGAACCGGGATCTGAAAGCAGAGATCGTATTTGGTGATACCAATGACGGTCAACTCCATGGAGTCGGGCATGGCGGGCAACTGCATCAGAATGGATATGGGGCGGGGCCGGAGCCGCAAGACAGTAAGCAGTACTATACCCAGAAACGGACATGACTATCACACGAACCAGAGTGCAGCCATCCTCCCGAGGCAAGTAGTCAGGTCTCGCAGAATCATTAAGTCAATGGTATATATGGAGTAAGATTCCCACTCCATACACAGCCCACACTTAGCAAGAATCGTGATTGTTGCGAGATACTGTGGCTCCCGAAGATGACCAGCCACCCCCCGGTGCCCGCAATCGCTCAACGGTAACCCAAGGCAGACAAGAGACACAAGACTTGATCAGGGAGGGATATAGAAGGGATTTGCCCATGCCGAATACACGGCACATAATGAGGCAGGTAGCTGATAGCCCAAGGGGCCCGCAGCGAAGAGCACACATCCATCGACGCAGTCATGAGTACGCCGCACAGCAATCACGAGACACAGAGCAGAATGGGGCCGAGAAAATTTGATCAAAACGTGCCTCGGCGAGGGATTATGTCTCAAGCCAACCAAGCCATCCGTATAGAACCCCGTTTCCCGTATGGTACAATAGAACACCCAAAACCAGCCAAACCCTTAATCATTCGTGACAAAACACTTCACTCCCAAAGTCCGCATGGGCCACCGCGTCATGGGGTGGATCGCGTCATGGCCCAAGAGAGATTCGTAACAGACATGCAGAAATATGACGCTTAACCACCGAAACCGTACAGGGTGCGACCTTGGCGCTTCAGCGCGTAGACAACGTCAAGAGAAGTGACGGTCTTGCGCTTTGCGTGCTCAGTGTAGGTGACGGCATCGCGAATAACGCCCTCGAGGAATGACTTGAGGACACCACGTGTCTCCTCGTAAATCACTTTAAGGATTTGGTGTCAGTTACTTATAAGCTAAAGCGAAGGGCAACTAAGACTTACTGGCAGAAATACGCTTGACACCACCACGACGAGCAAGACGACGGATCGCAGGCTTGGTGATACCCTGAATGTTGTCACGCAAAATCTTGCGGTGGCGCTTGGCACCGCCCTTGCCGAGACCCTTGCCGCCCTTGCCGCCTGATTTGCAAAGTCAGTATACTCGGAGAGACAGAGGAAGCATGACGTAGAATCGGCACTTACGTCCAGTCATGGTGGAATGTGATGAAGTCGAAGTGATTTAAGGTTGGGGTTTGATGAGGCTCTTCCAAGAGAACAGCGTGCAAGTTTGTATGGGTAGATATGACGTGGGGCTGGATAGTATAATGGGACACACGGACGAAGACGCGCAGAGGGGGCCGGGCATTTATATCAAGAGTCCGTGGGCCGAGTCTGATTCGGGATCAGCCAGAGAAAAGCGGGTACGTTCATCAAGCTGGATCACATCCTGTCGCGACGCGAGGCGAAAAATTAAAAAACAACACCAGGAAGGCACAGGCCACTGAATATCAGGTACCTTACCTTATCTTACTGCTTGCCAATCGGAGGAGCAGGGGTACAGATGGATGGGTACAATTAAATACAGCCAACCAGAAACCGTCCCTCACCCCCGTCCTCCCCCGTCCCTTCACCTCCCTGTGTCAAGCGCGTGCTTTTCATTGACTCCCAGAGGCGCCGCGTGCCACCACGACCTTGTTTCTGGCCTGGCCGACGTACCTTACCTCACTTACACCTTCGAGTAAGGTAGTCCTGTCTCTAGGACTAGGCTGCAGCGTCGCTGCATCCACTGCCACATTTACCCAGTAGCCGTGGATGCATCTTTTCAAATTTCCACAACATGGAGTTGAATGGGCTTTCCCCGTCATGGTTCCCGACGATAACAGACCGAGATAACGTCGTCACCCGTCGCACTGAACCTTGAGTTCTCGACCGCTCAGTCGCGTAAGGATTCAAGACGTCCACGCAGATATCGCGTCGCGCCCTGTTAACACCCTGCCAAACTAACAAAGGTACTGTAGGAGATGAAATAAAGAGAGAAACAGAGGCTAATTATCTGTCCATACTTCAGCTGCGGAAGCAATCTGTATTGGGTGCACCCTGGCAACTGGATGGGTAGATCAAGTACGTGGAGGCACAAGTCTTTGTCAATTGTTCTTAATTTCCATTAAAAAAAAAAAACCCTTGAATGATTCCCTGGCAAAAACCGTGGACAAATGTCGGCACTCTTGGTGTCAGGCTGTCAGCTGGCCTCACGCCCTCCCGCGCTTTGCTCCCGACGCGTAAAGCGGTTATGCAGGGCTCAAAGTAGGTAGTGAGGGCCGATACACAGGTATGGATATCTTACCTTACTGAGGTATCTACCCAGGTGGACCGTAAGGTAGCTTACACCCATCCCTCTTTCCTGAATTCCCCCATAGATGGGGGACGTTGGGCTGAATCTTCGATGGGGAGATGTCAGCACTCACTACCTTAGGTACTCCGTAGTGCCATGGTGCCTGTGCCCATTCACCCACTGCCCTGCAGTGTGACCAGTGGACCACTCAGAGCCGCTAGACGCCCGGTACGTACCTCAACTATGGACACCTTACGGGTGTTTGAGAGAAAAAGATGGGGTGTCACGCATGCCGCAAGATTTCCAGCCAATCAAAAATGAGCCAAGTATCCGGGTTGACAACAAAGCGCAAAATGCCCTGCAAAGCAATCGTGCCTGCCAAAGCGGCATTTTTCCAAAAAGGATACCAAGCCCACACCTGACACTTCCCCCACCGCAAAACCAGGAAGGCGCGCACAGGCCACCTTCCTTTTGGTACACAATCACTCCCCTCTGCACGCGGTCCATCTTCCTACCTATTTATTTCCCTCCACCCGTCACCCACTTCTCATCTTTTCTTCCTACATCCACCCACACCACATCCACATCGAACCAACAGGTATAACTGTCACCAACAACCAAACCCATCAACATCATCATCACATACAACCAACAATGGCCCGCACTAAGCAGAGTAAGTGTTTCTACACGCTGTATCCACAGTCAATAATAATTACTGACTTTATTTCCACAGCCGCCCGTAAGTCCACTGGTGGCAAGGCCCCCCGCAAGCAGCTTGCCTCCAAGGCCGCCCGCAAGAGTGCCCCTTCTACCGGAGGTGTCAAGAAGCCTCACCGCTACAAGCCCGGTACCGTCGCTCTTCGTGAGATCCGTCGTTACCAGAAGTCCACCGAGCTTCTGATCCGCAAGCTCCCTTTCCAGCGCCTCGTAAGCAGCCATTCACATTATAAGCCACCCGCAACACCATCTAACACATCCCTCCCAGGTTCGTGAGATCGCTCAGGACTTCAAGTCCGATCTCCGCTTCCAGTCGTCTGCGATCGGCGCTCTCCAGGAGTCCGTGGAGTCCTACCTCGTCTCCCTCTTCGAGGACACCAACCTGTGCGCCATTCACGCCAAGCGTGTCACCATCCAGTCCAAGGACATCCAGCTCGCCCGCCGCCTTCGTGGTGAGCGTAACTAAGCGACTGTCTTTCGATTTTCTCTTTTCATGGGTGGCTCATGACTTGCGCGTTTGGGAATGCTTGACGAAGGGACCGTCTTGGTTTTGGGGGTAATCTGGCGTTTAACGATGCGTTCTTCAGAATAACGCAAGGGTTGTACATTAAACAAGCAGTAAAGGATGACTGCATGCAATGGCAAACACATTATGAACAATCTCTTCGCCCACCTTGTATACGTGAACACTGTGACATTGTGTCGCGCAATCTATTTGCCACGCGTTCCACGCGCTTTCTTCCCGATGGTACCCACATCAAGGCGAGGCGGAGCCGAGCAACGTGCAATATGCACCGGCGCACGTAGTCGGTCGCGTCGCGTCGCGACGACGGAGACCAAGGCAGGCGCTCGTCTTGCGGCAGTTAGCCATACCCTAATATCATGACGCTGTTGTGTCTCAAAGACAATCTCTCGCCATTCAAGGTGCTATTGCAAGGATTCTATAGACGCATCTTCTCTGGCTTACAGTACTCATGTCTTGACCGCGAGCAATCCACAACATCGTGCCCAACATAGTGATTGATTATTGTTCTTCTTATTATTATTATTTTAAACTGCCTCGTCTCTGCGGCCTTCGGCAAAGCTATTTGACGGAAGCGTCGAGAACAAGGAATATAGCGTGATGTTTATAAAGGTACTGCGACCCGAGCGACCGTTTAGATAGCTGTCATTGCTGGCAAGACCTCAAAAGATGGGTATCGACACACATCCATGCCTCGACAACAACTGCGCGTTGCCGCAAAGCAGCCTGCTCTCGCACATTCCGAGCTGCAGGCGCGACTAGGCTTTTCGTTGCCTACAAACTTGGGTCATCACTGTCTGCGTCCGTCGTTTGTGGCTCGGCCGAGCTGACTCAGACGCAGAATCATTCCATCACCGTAGATATGCCTCGGCGGCAACTACTGGTACTTTGTAATGCCCCCAGAGCCGCTCAAAGGTTGATCCGAGTAAGGGACAGTTTGAGCAAAAAAACAGGCAGGTTGACATAATGAGACTGGATTAACTTGAAGTGATACTGAACGGGTAAAACAAATTCCCTTGTTCATGATAAGACTTTGAGCAGAGCATGGCAGCCGCCCGTAAGAACAATAATAACAACCACTTCCACAATAATAACAACAACAGTGTGGAACCAAGCCAAACTGCGCTGGCTCTCGTCACCTGCAGGGCTACGAAGACACAGCGTCTACGCATCAGCGAAATTTGGCTAATATCCTATTTCTTCTGCGAAAGCTTTCATTGATCACTGCTGAGGTTCTCGACTACATGTTCTTCGCGACCGCCCAAAAGTTGTCCATCTTGGCTCGGACCAACGCGTCCCTAGCCTCCGCATCAGATTCGCAAACCTTGCTCCCCCACTTGCGGAATGCCCTCGTCTTCTCTTCGCCTTCAAACACCAGCTTACACTCGTTGTGGGACATATCCTTCAGATCGCCTCTCTCATTTTCGGCCACTAGCCATTCGCGAACCTGTTGCTGGGCCTTCCCCTCTCGCGACGGGGTATTCTCAGTCCAGTCAATACGCTCAAGCATAAGCTTCTTGTATTTGCGTATACTGTGCTCACCACCCTCGACAATGACTAGATTCATCTTTGGGTGCATAATGGAAATCCCTGTGAGTGAATGCTGCTCGGCGTTCTTCTGGATTTTGAATCTATGCTGGCCGTTCGCGAGACTGTTAATCTTGAATACCAAAATATGGATGCCCTTGGCAGCATCCTTTTCTTGATTGGTGACAAGTTTGCTGTGTTTCTCTTCCTTCGTGAGCTTGCGTTCTTCGTTGGCCTCCAGATGATTCTGCTGGCGTTCAGCAATCTGCCGGTTGACGAGGTTTTCCACGGCCGTTGGATCTTTCACTGCAGAGTCTGCGTAAACACGCATCATGTTGCTCTTCTTGACTTTGGGTGGCGGGGCTGGCACCAGCCCAAGTCTGATCTTTGCCTGTTGCTCCTTTAGTTCGGCCATCCTTCTCTGCCTCCTGGTTTTTGCCATTTCTTTCGGTGTCAGGTACATTGGCTTCAGCGCCGGCGTCTTCTTCTCTTGCGGCGGCTCTAATGCGACCGGGTGCTGTACATATTCCGTGATGATGGTGTCTTCTTTGATTTTGAGTTTGGACTCGTCGTCGATGCAGTCGTAGGAGGTTCCGTCGACCAACCCGCCGTCGAACCATTCCATGTCCGGAGGAGGGTCGACGACAAGGTTCTTCTCCATCTCCAGTTCATCTTCGATCCCAGCTTTCCTGGTTTGTGCCGCGATTCTCTTCTTCATCTCCTCCAGGGCAGCTTGCCGCCGCAGCGCCGCGGCTTGCTGGATGAACTTGCCCTTGGCATGGAAGTTTAGCTGCCGAGCCTGACGTTGTCTTCCACTTGTTGGCTGTGCTGCCTGCTGTTCGTTGAAATAAGGGTTCGACAACTGCCCATCGCGGCCGCGTCCAGAAGCATCCGGGGTTCTGAATCCGGTTGAAAGTTTCGAGTCCGAGTGCGATCGACTGTTTGTTGGCGTTCCATCGTTGGGTCTAGCTGGGGCCTTTGTCTGGCCAAGACTCTCGAGTACTGGATGTAGTCCGACGTTGAGGCCTCCCTTCGCCTTGGAGCCGCCGACTGCCGCTGCGACTCTTGCTTTGAGAGCAGCCATCTTGTCGGCGGCCGATTCAGGTTTCGATACCCGAGAATTTGGGTCATGACGAGGCCCAAGGCCTATCGAATCTGGTTGTCGATCCATTGCGATGAGGTTGAGATGCTAGCACTTTTCTGCGCGGCTGATGGCAGAAACCAAGCTGTAGTAGGTGTGTATATTTGGAGATACGCGGTCTTCGTTGAGAGGAATTCGGGAAGATTTGGGTGCTCTCTCAGTGAGCCTTCCGTCGTCGAGTTCGCAGGTTGTTTTTCGCGGTTTGGAGAGCACTTTGCAGATACAGCAAAGCAAAGAGGGTGGTAAAGGTCCGTAGTGGTGATGCGCGATGCCAGCGGATATATCCGCTGCACGATTGATGGGAAGAGCGGTGGAAGGTAGGAATTTCCTTCCGAGAGATGAAGAGAGAAGTCCCTGCCGTGAGCCTATGAGGTAAGGCAGCCGTTGGTCGCAGCTTGTGCCTGTGAGGGACACCTACGTAACTGCCTATCCGTACTGAAGCCTCGAGGTATAGTGGCAGTTTGCGTAGCAATGTAAAGCAACAAGGTAGATAGATAAGGTACGCAGGTGATAAATTCCATGACTATCCGTACCTAGACGCTACCTAGGTAATTATCATCTGCACTGTACCTAAGGCACCTAATTGTAATCGCAAGGCGACTTGAACGATCGGCCTGAAAATGCCTTGGCGCCTTGCGCCGAGAGCACCATGTCAACAGACAAAAAAGTGATACCTTAATGACCCACTCGCCCGATAAGGCGGGTCCCCGTTCTGCCGACCGTCACCACCAAAAAAAAAAAAAAAGTTCCCCTCGGTCTCCCACCGACGGTTACTGCTCTGGACCATTCTCTGGCCTAGTTGAATTTGCGATTGAGTGCCTCTTCGAAGTGGATGTTGGATGGAAAATTTGCTTCCTCACGCCACACCTTCTGCTGTACGGACTCAGATTGGTGCCAGGCTGTTACCTGACGCCTCAACGGCAAGATGAACATTTCTCAACCTATCTCGTCGTCTGTCGAGACGGTCGAGTTCACATTTCTTACCGAGGAAGAAATCAGAGCCATCTCGGTCAAGCGCATTGAGAACGACAGCACATTCGACAATCTCCTAAACCCCGTTCCTGGTGGTCTCTATGATCCTGCTCTTGGGTCATGGGGCGATGCTCTGTATGAATTGGCCTAGAATATCCCTACTACCCTCAATTGACTTACACGCCTCTTCACAGCTGTGCGACCTGTAACTTGAACCAGTCCTCATGTCCGGGTCACGCCGGCCACATTGAGCTCCCCGTCCCGGTATACCATCCTGTCTTTCTCGATCAGGTTCTCCGTCTCCTCAGGTCGCAATGCGTCTACTGCAAAGGCTTCCGCATGCGCCATCGCGAAATCAACCGATACTCCTGCAAACTTCGACTACTGCAACACGGCCTTCTGCACGAGGCTCACTTGGTTGATGCGATTGGAGAAGAGCTCAAGGGTCTCGCGCTCCCAGGTGTGCCCACTGATTACGAGAGTGAGGCAGAAGAAGAGGGCACCTCTTCGGTCGACAACGTTATCGGAGCCCGGGAGGCCTTTGTTCGTCAATCACTCAAATCACACAAGCTCGATCTCAGCGAGATCAGGAAGGGCAAGCACGAAGGTGCCATCGAAATGCGGAGAGAGCTCATCAAGGACTTCTTGACGCAAATCACTAAGCCCAGACGATGCGACAACTGTGGAGGTATCTCGCCTGCCTACCGAAAGGACCGCTTCGTCAAGATATTCGAAAAGGCCCTCAGCGAGAGAGACCTTGCTCAAATGGCACAGAAAAACTTACACCTCAAGGATTCGATGGCGATAGCATCTCGAAGGCGCAAGTCGAAGCGCGGCAATACCGATACTGACGAAGGTGTTGCCGACGTTGATGCAACCTCATCGAGCGAGGGGAACGACGTCGACATGAAAGATGCCAATAATGATGACCTGGAGAATGAGGAAGCAGAATCTAGAGCTGACGCTGTCGCTGTTAGCCCCGGTCAACAGCGATATCTCAGTGCAATGGAAGTCCGCGCACGTCTGCGGGAGCTATTCGACAAAGAGCAAGATATTATGTCGCTGGTCTACAATTCGAAGCCAATTACCAGGAAGGCAGCCAAAGTGTCTGCCGATATGTTCTTTATCCGAACTATTCTTGTACCCCCAAACAAGTTTCGACCTGAAGCTCGAACCGGCGATTCTCAGATATCTGAGGCCCAGCAAAATTCCCTCTACAAGATGATCATGCGAAACTGCGGTAGCATTGCGAGAATACACCAAAGTGTCGGGGGCACAGACCAGTACGGAAGAGCAAGAGACATCAACGATTTGCACCAAATATGGACGGAATTGCAGGAGTCTGTCAACTCTCTGATCGACAAGAGCAAAAACCCTGTCCAAGGCGCAGCTGCGAAAAGAAATGAAGATGGTATCAAACAGAAGCTGGAGAAGAAGGAGGGCCTTTTCCGAAAGAACATGATGGGAAAGCGAGTCAACTTCGCAGCCCGAAGTGTCATTTCCCCTGACCCCAATATCGAGACCAACGAGATTGGTGTACCTCCTGTCTTCGCACGCAAACTGACCTACCCCGAGCCCGTAACGAGCCACAATTTCAAAGATCTGCAGCAAGCCGTTACGAATGGTGTCGACAAGTGGCCCGGCGCGGCTGCCATCGAGTACGAGAACGGACAAATCGTCAACCTTCGATCCAAGTCTGCTGAAGACCGCATGTCCCTTGCTAACCAGCTTCTCACGCCGACCAATGCCCAGATGAGTGGCATGAAGGGAAAGAAGGTTTACCGACATTTGACAAACGGTGATGTTGTTCTCATGAACCGTCAGCCGACGCTCCACAAGCCCTCCATTATGGGCCACCGAGTCCGCGTACTGCCGGGAGAGAAGACAATCCGAATGCACTACGCCAACTGCAACACGTACAATGCCGATTTCGACGGTGACGAGATGAACATGCATTTCCCCCAGAACGAGGTCGCCAGAGCCGAGGCTCTTCAGATCGCTGACACAGACCACCAATATTTGTCCGGCACGGCAGGCAAGCCCCTCCGTGGTTTGATTCAGGACCATCTTTCAGTCTCCGTTGCTCTTTGCAACAAAGATACCTTTTTCGATCGCGATTCCTACCAGCAGCTCATCTACTCAGCGCTCCGCCCGGAGAGTGGTCATATTCTTGGCGAGAGAATCGAGCTCCTTCCGCCGGCAGTCATCAAGCCAAGACCGAGATGGTCAGGAAAGCAGGTTATCAGCACGATCCTGAAGAACATCAAGCCACCCAATGGAGAAGGGCTCTGGATGTCGGGCAAGTGTCAAGTCAAGGGCGAACAATGGGGCAAAGGCCATTCGGAAGAGGGCTCGGTTTTATTCCAAGACGGACAATTCCTGACTGGTATTCTCGACAAAGCCCACCTAGGTCCTAGTTCGGGGGGCTTAGTCCATTCCATCCACGAAGTTTATGGACCTGCTGTAGCAGGCAAGTTGCTCAGTGGTATGGGCCGCCTCCTCACTCGCTACCTGAACATGCGGGCCTTCACTTGCGGCATGGACGATTTGCGGCTCACATCAGAGGGTGAGCAGGCTCGAAAGGAGGCACTGAAGGCGGCGAAGGACATCGGACTCGAGGTCGCAGCCAAATATGTTTCACTCGAGGACAAGGCACCCAAGAGCACAGACCGGGAACTGCTCACTCGCCTGGAGGAGGTCATGCGCGATGACACCAAGCAGGAAGGTCTTGATCTGCTCATGAACCACCAAGGTGGTGTTGTTTCAAGCGCGGTCACAGCAGCCTGTCTTCCCGTTGGTCTGGTCAAACAGTTCCCCAAAAACCACATGCAGTCTATGACAACCTCTGGTGCCAAGGGTAGTCAAGTTAACGCTAACCTCATCTCATGCAACTTGGGACAGCAAGTTCTTGAGGGCAGAAGAGTCCCACTCATGGTTAGCGGCAAGTCTCTACCCTGCTTCAAGCCATTCGAGACCAATGTTCGTGCGGGAGGCTACATTGTTCAACGATTCTTGACTGGGATCCGACCGCAAGAATACTACTTCCATCACATGGCTGGTCGCGAGGGTCTTATCGATACGGCTGTCAAGACATCTCGTTCGGGTTACCTGCAAAGGTGCATAATCAAGGGCATGGAAGGACTTACAGTAACATATGACTCGACAGTGCGAGATGCCGATGGCACACTCGTGCAGTTCCTCTATGGAGAGGATGGCCTTGACCCGACTAAGCAGAAGTACCTTACCGACTTTGGCTTCATACTCCGCAACGTTGGCTCCGAGTCTGCCCAGCTTAACTTCAGCAACGGCTTCAGGGATCAATTTGCGGGCAGCAAGGACGAAATACTGAAGCATATGAAGAGTGCTATCAAGCACGCCAAGCTTGATAGCCCCGGAGCCAAGGATCCCATCATTTCCTTGGTCAACCCGGCGAGAGTAGCATTTGCGACGTCCGAGTCGTTCTACGAGAAGATGACAAAGTACATCAAAGATAACAAGGATGGCCTCATCCGCGACAAGTCAAGCGCTCCGTCTAGCCTGATTGACGCCCCTGCCGTCAGCAAAAAGTCAGCGGAACTTGTTTTTGCGGCTAAGTACATGCGATCACTCGTTGAGGCTGGTGAGGGTGTCGGCATTATTGCTGGCCAGAGTGTGGGAGAGCCTTCAACACAGATGACCCTCAACACATTCCATTTGGCAGGTCACTCGGCGAAGAACGTCACGCTCGGTATTCCACGTCTCCGTGAAATTCTCATGACAGCAAGTCGATCTATCTCTACCCCAGCCATGACCCTGCTTCTGCATCCTGAGCTGTCCGCAGCTGAGGGGGAGGTGTTTGCAAAGTCCATCAGCGTTTTGCCTCTTGCCGATGTGCTCGACACGGCCACTGTCAACGAGCGCATTGGTAAGGGTATCAATGGTTCATTAGCCAAGCTGTACGACGTGAGACTCAACTTCTTCCCTGCTGCAGAGTATACCAAAGCCTACGCCATCGATCCATCTGATGTCATGGATACCGTTGAGAAGCGATTCTTGGACCACCTCTTGAAGATCATGGCCAAGGAAATCAAGAAGCGCCGCAGCGATTCCACTTCGGCGACGCCTGAAGTTGGCGTCAAGTCCGGCGTAGTGGAAATGGTGAGCGGCAACAGCGAGGCAAGACCTGCCAACAACGACGATGACGACGACGATGACGAGGGCGACGGTGACGCCACGAGCGCCAAGAACAGGGCAAACCGGGACGAGGCTGTATCGTATGGTCCTAATGATGACGAGGATGATGCGATTCAGCGACAAATGGAACGTGAAAACTCGCTGGAAGAAGACGAAGGGTTCGAGGGCAGCCCACCGCCGCCGGCCGACAAGGACAGCTCCGATGACGAAGATGATGAGGACGAAGACATGGAGAGTGAGGATGGTGGCTGGAGAGCTCAACGAGTGAAGCAACATTATCTTCGTGTCACCAAGTTCAACAACGACAACGCAGGGGAGTGGTGCGAGTTCACCCTCGAGTTCGAGGCAGATACCCCCAAGGTATTGATGCTCAACATCGTGCAGGCGGCGGTCAAGAAGTCAGTCGTCCAGCAAATTCCCGGCGTTGGCTCTTGCACCTTCACACCTAATCACAAGGTCACGGATGCGGCTGGCAAGGATGCGACAGTGGCGGCCATCTACACGTCGGGGTGTAACCTCGAGGCCATGCAGAAGTATGGCGACTTCATTAACCCGAACAAGATCGCAACCAACGACATCGGCGCCGTTCTAGACGTGTATGGAGTGGAGGCATGCCGAAATAACATCGTCTCTGAATTGGCGGGTGTCTTCGGCGGTCACGGTATCAGTGTCGACAACAGACACTTGAATCTCATTGCCGACTATATGACGCGCAATGGTGACTACACACCTTTCAACCGCAATGGTCTGCGTGGCAACGTGAGCCCCTTTACCAAAATGAGTTTCGAGACGACCCTGGCTTTCTTGAAAGACGCCGTCCTCGATGGTGACTGGGACGATCTCAGGACACCTAGCGGTCGTATTGTCATGGGCCGCTTAGGCAAGATCGGCACGGGTGCCTTTGACGTCTTGACGGCTTTGCCTACGCACCATATGTCTTCCAATGTCGAATGAGCTTAGCCCCCTGCCTGGCTGCTCGTATCTGTCTTGCTTTGGGTTTTGGGATTGGGAGTCGTTATGGCAAGTTCTTTGGCCAAAAATGTACTTTGTATGCGGGAATTGATAAAGAGGTGCTTTTCACCTGAAAAATAATCAGTAAAAATTACCAAGATATCTGATCATTGAAGTTTGTACCCGAGCATCATTGGTACCCTATCGTTTGTTTTACGCTCCTCATCATGTTCATGAAGCTGCCAGATGGGAGCCGGGGACGAAGTGGAAATTGAACAGATGATTATACCCAATGCCCGCTCATCACCTTAGGGTCAATTGCAACTTGGTCAATAGGGTCCGCGAACCTATCAACTTCTCTTCACTGGGACAGCGCGACGATGGACGCCCGCGGGCTGCGAAAGAAATAACCGAAGACATCCATCCAATCCAGGTCGACCCGCAAAGCAAACGAATGCCATCGAGCTATTATTATCTAGGTCCTAGTGGTGCGTCCTTGCTCATCCACAGGGTGGCCTTACGCTGGACTTGATGAACAGAGATGTCATGGGACGGGTCTAAGTGGAAAGTTGGGCAACTTGGGCAGACTAGGGTCCAGCACTCCCGATGGCCCAGCCGCACTACCGTGCCTCTTGGGTCATACTGGTAGCATACGCACAAGTAGTGCCCGGGGTGCCGGTGCATGTGTCCAGCCAGCCCTACCAGGCAGCAGAGCCGAGACATGACGGAAACTAACAGAGATGGCGTTGGAATTCGGGAGGTGGAAGGCTTGGGGACGCTGGCCATGTAAGAAGGGGGCGCGGCACGGGTGGGTGGCATGAACGGCGGGCAAGCGAATTCGATGCGTCTTACTTGACTGCAGTCCCTCAACTGACCGATATGCGACCTTGGAAGTTGGGGTGGGTATTTGGTGACAGCCTGCATCCAGACAATACCCGCGGTCTCGCAGCGCCACTAATGGCAGAGGCGAGAATAGGCGCCGAGAGAGACGAGAAAATGTGACGCTACCGCGTTTGGGGGCGGTAATTGGGGGTTGCATGATGCAGCCATTTTCACAACTGGAATTCGGCCGTCCTGTGTCTCTTTCTCTAGCCTACGGAGCGAATGAAAAGGAACGGCCGTTGGACCAATCCGAGGGTCACGGGGATGAACGGGAGTGGATGACGAGACAAGAAAGCCCAGTCTACGTACTTATGAGTTGAGACCTGTGGGGAGGAGGGAGGGACTGGCCACCTTCCGACTTGAAGCATGTCCATGATTTTGGGTCGTTCTCCAACATCCAAACCAATGGAAGTCAGGCTGATGGGTACCTACAACATAAGGTATGCATTAGTACGGATACCTAGGTTATATGGTTATAAAATCAAAGAGACCAACAGTGGCAGGCGGCTGGTGATTTCCAATGCGACGCTGCACCAACAGCAATGAGCCGGAGGGGTCCAGGGGAGAAGAACATGCCCATCTTCAGCTTCTCACTCGCCCGGACCCCGGCTATGCCCTTGCCTTTGCCTTTCCCTGCGCGAGTCCCCCGCCGTAGCGCGCCCCGCTGAGACCGAGGAGACAAATCAAAAGAGACTGTTATGCGGTTTCCGGTGGCCGGGATGCTGTAAGATGTCCAATACAACGTGCCATCTGTCCCGTATCGTACAGAGCAGTAGTAAGCTGTGAATAAGTTAGAGCGGTGCGTGTGAGACGCGGAAAACCGAAAGGAGACGCAGATGTAGGTTTTGCTGTCCATACGTACAGTATTACCTTATGTAAGGGAGGGAGAAGAGAGAGAGAGAGAGAGAGGTAACAATGGGCCCCGCCAATTCTCTGTGTGTCAGTCTCTCTCTACTCTACTCGATGCGTTTGGTATGCGGTGGCATCTACAGATCAAAGTCAAAGATGAGATTCGTAGCGAAATTGGACGTTGCTTAACAATTCGCGAAGTAGACGCCATCGACAAAACCAACCAAGGTATGGATAGAAATGCAAAGAATTGGTTCTGGCCGTGGTAGAGGTCCTTCTCTGCGGATCAGGTACCGAGCGAGGTACGGATGTTCATGCCAAAGTGCCACCGGGCAGACAGGTCTTGGGGCAGCGTTGTCCTGGCGGGCCGCGGGTCTTCTTCCACTCGTCAACTGTGAACGTGCGGTGATCCACGTCTGCCCAGAGCTGCAACGTCCGGATCGGGCCAAGTCGCGATACATTTGAATCCGTACCGCCGTATCCATCCGTACAGTACTTCAAGCGTCGCCATGTGCTTTCCAAACGTACAGGGTGAGTGAGCAAGGACCACCCGTCCACATCCAACGCCTGCTCGGGCTCGGGCCTGTTGGCTCCAGCTCCCGAACTCCCGGTCCCACCCACGTAGATAGATGCATGCCTTTTTATGCTCCAATCTTCAACCCTGCTGACCACCAGGTCTCTCCCCTCCATAAACCATGGACTTTCGAAACCACTGTCCAAGGTACCTAAACTAAGGATCATTGTCCTTTGCTGGTAACAGGTTATCATCGCCCAGAATACATGACTCGGGGGGAGGGGACTCCCACAGTCGCACCTCATGCGGATAATAATACCATTGACCAAAGACTCAACTTCTCAAGGCTACAACTCTGCATCAACCGCACCACACCTCTTTTGCCTGGCGCTTGTATAGCCAATCGCATACTTGCCGTTCGGCCCTATGGCTTATGGCTCAGTGATGTTATGGCATCCCAGCCTGGATCGGTAGCCCTATCATGCCCAGGTCGAGTTTGACTCGCAGTAGTTCATGTCCGTACCAAGCTCCCGAGTTCAGAATTCTGCACGAACTGGGTTTTCTAGTTCTGCAGCGCTATGCGATACTACGCCGCCGCCTCGTTGGCTTCGTTGTCGTGCTGGGAAGTCCCGCCAGACGTGGCATGTTCCGCCGTCTGTAACTTACGTCCGTAAATATCCTGCATGGCCGATGTTCCCTCACCCTCCCCGAGTCCCCATCACCGCGGAAGCTGACCATGCCCTGACCTCGGTTGCCTGTTGGAAGCTTGGTCGGAAGCCCAAATTTTGCACCTGCTTGTCGCTTGCTACCCATTGCCTTTGCACCCGCTGAAGGCTTTGACTAAGGTAAGCGCTGCCTACCTCACATACCTTATGGATACACCTGGGGAGCTCGCTCCTTCTCTCCCGTTTACGGCCAGGAGCCAAGCGAGGCTGCTGCCTCCAGTTTACACAGTATGGCCCACTTTGAAGATCCCGGCTTCGCAAGTTCAAGATATCCGTGGCCATTGTGTGTTTCCGATTGGATAAGGTAGTTCCAACGTGATTGACTGCCTTGCTCGGCCGTACAGCTACGACCGCTACTACGTACCGCTACCACCTTACTCCTCGTACCCTTATCGTGTCCATCAAGTGCATTCCGTCATTATAGTAATCCGTCGTGCCGTGCCGGGCCCGCTCAATGCTCCAACGCCATGATACAGACATCCACAATGCAAACGATTCTCGCGCATGTAAATCGAATCCTCCCAAGCCAATCCAAGTTGATATTACAGTCTTACCTTACACGTTGATAAGACAAGTGCGGCACTCTGCAAAAAGCTTGTCTGCCACAACCCCTTCGTGGGGGGGGGCTCTCTCAAGTCACCGTCCCATCACCGTTGCCAAGTATCGCCATGTGTTCCGTCGCTCGTGCCAGACAAGACGCTTCTGCTCCTGCAAGCCGACGACTCGGGATGTAACAGGCTGTTGCCGCCGCCGCCGCCGATCGGCGCGTTGATGGGAGGCAGAGGTCCGGAACCGGGCCCCATGGGATGTATCGGCCCTCCCATGCTACGATTGACCGGCGCTATGCCTCCGAACCCCTCGACACGAAGGTCGCACGTGCCAACGTCGAAGCGTTTGGAACATCCATCATCCATATGCCTGCAACCTGAGTCAGTCGTTTTTTCTCGACAGCTACCAAGGATCTCCAGCCGTTGTCCACAACTTACCTGCGAAGCGTGTCCTTTCGGGCAAACAGCCTTCCGCAATAGTCACAACCATGGTTTTTTTCCTTCATGTGAACGCTTTGGTTGTGTCTCTGGAGGTCTGTTTTCCGGACAAACCTCTTATTACAATCGGCCACTGGGCATGGAAACGGATATTCCCGCTTATCGTCATGTGTGTCCAGATGTGCCTTATAGTTGTAGCTGCGGCTGAAGAGCTTGCCACATCCCGTGACTTGACACTGGTATTGGGCGTCCGCAAAAGACGTCATCTTCCGTGGCGCTCGCTTCGGACGATTATGCTTCACATCGTCTGCTCGCTTCGATTCCCGACTGGCAGGAGCTGGCTCTCCCGCGGGTGGATTTTGATAGTACTGCTCTACGCCGTATTCGACCTTTGACCAGCTTGGAGATTGGTTTTCTGATATATAATTTTGGTGAAGATTGCCGTAAGTGCTAGATTCTGTCATGTACGGTGCCTGCATCGAGCGTGGAGAGGCGTAGTGCGAGGCGTCAATTCCAGATCCGTATTCGTTGGCGTTCTCCATCTTGATCCTCGGGCCCAACGAACTCGCGGAATGTCCAACTTGTGCAAAGGAAAGCGAACTCCTTGACGATGGTGGCCCGGGTGAGCGCCCCGGAGAGTCTGCCAGAGAATGCTGATGGTGGCCTAGCGCGGACGAGTGAGACGGCGGCGGAGGGTACGAGTCGGATCCGTACGAGGCGGAGACTTGCGTGTCGTACTCAGCAAACGGGTCGTATCCCGAAGAAAGGACATTCGGGATAGAGAAGGACGAGGACGACGGTGCCATGATGTCGGAAGTAGCCCAATCTACTGACGGTCGAGGCTCTAGAGGTGGCAAAGAAATGTCGGCTTCGGCTGCCTGACCTAGGGAGCACAGTTGGCCGGCAGCGTATAAGGAACTGATTTTGTAATGTTGAGCCGCCAGGTCTGGGGATGGATATTCAAGCGAGGAGCGTTCCGATGGACAGTAGGTGTGAGTTGGAGATGTCGGCGACCTGGTAAGAGATGGTGGTGTAAGATCCATGACTGTTTTGTCCGCAGGCTCCCTATTCTTTTATTGTTTCGACGGGCAGTTGTTGGACGCAAAAGTTTGGTTTATATACCAACAGGGCGTTGGAGCAAGACGCAATCAGGCCTCGAGGGGGGGGGGGGGGGGGGGGGGGAGACCGCGGGGGGGCCCGGGGTGTGTGGGGTGGGGGGGGGGGGTTGGGTGGAGTGGCGCCGCCGGGGGGGCGTTTTTTTTGTTTGGGACCCTTTGTACAGGGGGGGGGGGGGGGGGGGGGGAGGATACCCGGTTGGGACTCGGGTAGATTTGTGTGAGTGGAGGAGCTTGTGGATAGGAACCTGACCGGGAGTGCTCTGTTTTTGATTGGCAACCTTGTCTAAGAAGGCTGAGGAACAATAGGTAAGATGGGGAAAGAGACAGTTATAAAGGAATTTGTTCACAGATGGAGAGGGGACAAGACAAGGCAGCAAACTGGTAGCTGACAGGGGTCCCGCTGAAGAGAGAGAAATAGGTGTGTGAAAGGCAGTCAGGGTACAAATGTGGATGGGATCGGGTGCGCAGGCAGAGGAAGGTAAAGGCTCCGTAAGATAATGAAGTAACCAGAAGATGGGAATAACCTAGTCAAGCACTCTCAGGAGTGGATGAGGTAAATGGGTCGAGGTGTCCCCTCGATCATTGCTAGCAGGGCTGAACAGAGCCGACAAGAGACAGGAAGACAAGGCGGACCGGGTCCTTGAGTACTGCAGCATCCGAGGCAGACTCTGGGAAATTTTATACGACTTCTTTCGACCCCAAATCCTGCCTCTGCCTGGTCCCAAAGGAACATGGAAGACAGCAAATCAAGACTGAGTGACAGGTAAGACACGAAAGTCAAGCAATGATAGCCACAGCAGTACACGCACATTAGCTAGCCCCCAATACCGAGTGGGTAAAGATTGAGAAGCGGAGGGGTCAGCGACCTGGCAATAGCGGCAGCAGGGCAGAGCGCCCGTGGAGTGGTGTTGAACCGTCCCGCGAAGGATTCGACAGACCTAGCCCAGCCAGAAGTATCATTGGGGGCGGCGCGAGACGTAGGGGAGGGGGTCAGAAAAGCAGGGGTAGAGGGGGGGTGGCGGGCCAAGAAGCCATCGAGAAGGGGGTGAGGGTGAAGGGGGATGTGAGTGAAAATCCGGACTGGGAGGAAGAAACAGAAGGACTTGCTGAGTGTGTTATTGAACCAGCGGACTTGTGGTTGTGGATGGGATGAGACTTCGCTCTTCATTGGAGGCTGAGTGCATCGGAGGATAATTCTGGGTTGGCCCCGGCCGTAGGAGACCGGGTGAAGACAGCGAGCATTCACCATAATTGACACTGGCCAGTCCAGGTGCTTCTCTCCAGCAATGTCGACTCAGGCGTCCTGCTTCTACACAGTAGCGGCCTTGTCGTCTGGCGGTGGCTCATTGCCAGAACAACTGGGACTCTGGAGAGTGGGAGGAGTGGAAGCTGAGCAAGAAAACAGCTTGTGGGCGGTGGTACGATGAATGCCTGCACCAACGCAGGCGAAGCACATTCATCCGTCCATTTCCTGGGCCGTGAATGGTCGGTCCAGCAACTTGGGAATGAGAGAGGGCCTTGCCTAGAGGCTAAACAGGGATGCGACCTTTGAGGCTTGACCGGTCACTGGCACCATCTGCGTCAGGGGTCCGGGGAAGAGATGAGAGGAAAAGGGGAGGGAGAAAGATTTGGAGGGAAGGAGGAATGGCCCTACCAAAGTGGTTTGAATGGGACGGGACGAGAAGGGATAGGATGTGTATTCATACTGTCGTATATCCGTGTCTTGTGCATTTATGGCCAGGGGTGAGGAGTGGGAGACATTGGCTGCCCTCGGTGCTGATTTTGTTTCGTATGATGACTGCTTGACATGTTCTTCCTCCCCATGGTCTTTTTTGCTGGGTTGTCCTGACTCTCGCACCAATATCTGTACCCGTCCTACCTCTGCTGCAAATATTCAAAGAGGTCGCCAACGGGTTGCGAGAGGCAAGCCAACATACAGGCCCTCGCATGATCACACGCAAACAAGCACACAGCCCTCGGGCTGTTGGTCAAAGATGGATAACGAGAGGAGAAAAAATCTCGTCGGCAATAATTTGTCGTTGGTTGTTGGAACAGTCTGAACCAACCGTTTAATTTAAGACTCGCCGGGGATATTGACCTAGACCGGACGGAGCCCGTGCGCAAAGTGGATACCCAACGATCGATTGAGCCACATCGGCCGGCCGTGGTGGGGACATCGGTCGAACTAGGTTAGGCAAGGTACTTCACTGTACGCATTTGTGCCTCCCCTTCTTATTCCTCATCAGTGTGCAGAATACCTCACGGCAAGGTATCTTACGTGCTTACCTACTTCATCCTGCCTAAATGGGCACCTCACCCAGGCCAGTAAGTGTTGGTATCTAATAAGGTACGGACACATTGCGTCGCTATTCTGCGTTGGACGTACGTCAAACCAACTGCCAACAAGTCCTCGCAAATAGGCCTACCTGAAGGCAATACCATCCCCCAAAGGCCAGTTGCATGTAGGTACGGATAGCGGGAGATAAATAGGAATGGAGGCAGAATGAAAATGAATATCGCTGCACCTAGGTAATGAACGGTGTCCCTAGATTGCCCTAGGTTCACAGCCAACTGCCTGCACTGTATCATACCCGTCCATTGCACTCCCTCGACTTCTTTTCCAGGTACTGCTACTTCAGAGTTCACTGCGGCAGCTCTCGCCCCGGACCCGTAGCCGTTGCACCCACCCGTTTTCCGGCATGGCGTTGGCGCTGGCGCTGGCGCCCGCGTTGGTTCTAACGCCCAGAGCAATATTATCCACGGTGATCAGTAGGGCAAGGCCAGCACGCCAGGTACAAGCATCTTGATGCCCCGCCCGTTCCTTGACACTTTTGCAGGGTGAGTAGCCTAATGGTACCCTACAACGTCCCAGCCGTCCATAAGATGAATGCTGAGTTGGAGGTTAGAGAGAGAGAAGAGAGAGGGCAAAACAAGGAAACTCGATCCAAGGGACAAAGGTACTTGAGGCGCCGAATGCCTTCCCCCGCCGCCTTCGCGAAGCTGCGAATGACGGGCCGACGAATTAACCTTTCGAGTGAAGGATCGTGGATCGTGGTGGCGCTCACGGACGCTATCAAAAGTTGACCCCTGTGGCGGTAGACCACAGGCAGCTTGGCACCGTACTTTGCAGGCGGGTCAGCGTTGCCGCTTCCAAGCAATCATCAATTCTCATCATCATGAAGTATGCACCAAATCGAAATCCCATCGGTAGCGAGGTATGCTCATTCCTATGAGACGCTCTCACATCTTTCTCTTTCTGTATGAGCGCTACAGCCCACGGCCCCAGACATCCTGTTGCGCTGTTCATGCCATAGGTGGCCAAGGACACCCTCGCGCCCGTATGCATAGCGTCAACTCTGGGCTTGGGATGCCTGCTGCCAATCGCAATGCCAAGTCTTTCTCATCAGGAGCAGTTGAGTAACTGGAGTCTCCAACCGTCATGGTGTTAGACTAGGTCTCCAGAGTGACCGACTTTCGTTGCACTGTCAGCGATACGCATGCGACAGCCCCTCATCCAACAACAAACCTCATTCGACAGCTTTGAAGTAATCAGCCAAGCGTTCAGTGAAAATCGGGTATCCCTGTATTGTTCGGGCAAAGAGTGGAGTCTGGTCGTTCACGGACGCAGCTACGAAAACCTACCTTTCTTACATTACGAAGAGAGAGGTTTCTGGGAACCATTTGAAGGCATTCCCGTCAGCGAGCATTCGCATGATTTGTTTCTCCGATTCCAGGGTCTATCCGGAGACTTGAATGGGGGTGGTGATTTTGCTGCTTTATCGTCGGATCCCGAGGAGTAGATACCGTATCGTGGCCCGTGTGCCCATACATGACTGCCTACCTTGGACTTCCTTCAGACTGAGGCCCTCGGGGGCTGACTCACTTTATGACAGCAGCATACCTACTGCCATCAGCCTGCCAGTTCCTGTCCCTGCCTTTCACATTCCCAGATTTGCTTTTGGCAGCTGTCAATGGCTATAGCGTACGGACAGAGCATCGATAAATTACCCAGGGTAAGGTCAGGCACCTCATTGAGGTTGGTGGATTCCGTCCGACCCAGGTGCGTGCACGTTAGGCCAGAGGCCGGTCGTACTCTGTCGAGTTTAAGGTATTTAAGTATCTTGAGGTACCTTTTGGAACCCCGTAGGGCTTCCATCGTCAGGTGGGTCTGGCAACCACGCCCCACGTCCACCCACAGCTAGGTGCATACTACGTATACGTACCTTGACCGTCTCAAGTCAAAACAGTTCCTCTCTTCAGGCTCTGCAAGGTACTTTTCTGTGGACTTATTGGTAGCCCCCAGTTCGTCCGTCTCCCCATCTGCTCAAAGATCCTCCTCTTACTCTGTTCCTCTCCCAGGGGAGATTATTCCACCATTTCTACCATCTCTACCATCTCTACCATCCCTACCATCCCTACCATCCCTACCATCCAGCTCCCATCGAACTTGCCCGCATATCCTGGAGCCCCGCGACTGGTACCCGAAGAGGTGGAGCGATGCCTGGCAGAGAGATGGGTTGAGAAGCGAATTGAGCAGGAACCCTATGGCCAGGTGTCGCAGAGCTGATCCCTCGTTGACAGCAGCCGAGTGGTGTCTCGACTGTCAACCGTTAACGGTCTACCTTAGGCTCTCGCAGCCGGGAGTGTGTCCTGTGACTCCTGTCTGCCACCACGCTTCACCACCCATGTGTACCCACGATGTGGCTCGGACTTTTGCTACGCTACTGAAGTCAACCGCAGGACTTTGCTCGACGTTGCAAAGTTGCAGCAAAGGCCGGCAATGGCCGCCTGCGGCCGAGACCTTGAGAATACGTGTTGTACCTGGTCTGCCCCTCCATAATCACTTGCTATTTTCTTCAATGCTTCGCAAGTCGCGGGCCAGCAATTGAAAACTTCGGAGGCCAGCTGCATACACCCCGCGGCTC